ACTGAATGACACCTTTGACCTTGTTGTCTGGAACTTCTCTCCCGACGACTGCCGATATAATCCTTCTTCTTTCTTGGCATTTACAAAGCAAATAATAATTTTATTATACAAATATTTCATGTAACGGATTTTTATTTTTGTATGATGTTTTCATTGTTGTGTAAATACACAAAGTAAGTAGTACCTTCATCATATTTACATTATTATAATTGGGTTTAGGCCAATATAATTTTGCTTATAATCAATATTTACACGGCATAAAAAAAATAATCGATAAAATGTAGTCATGATTTATACAGACAAAACCTACAGAAGATAACAAATATGTAGTATTGTAGTATGTAGTATATGCGCGATATGTGATTAGGCCTAACTGAAACAAAGTTAAACTTACGAAGAAATGGCGAAAGCAATGGTAAAAAAAATACGCGTTTTACAAAAACAATTCTAATATCATACAATATAAGTCACTTTGTAGAATGTTTCACAGGATATATGCGGATGATAATCACAGACAAAATGCATGTTATGTCGTCTGCTATATGGTAATTTAACTTAAAATATGTGACGTAAAATATGGCCTTGCGCCAAAAATCATACCAAAAAAACTACCGATCGTACCTAAATAACGTTGGTACCAAGCCATAGGGGAAATCGTGATGAATGTAAAACTATTAAATTCAGGACCGATAATAGGAACACATTCGTCTGAAAGCATGCGAAAATTAAGAGTTGTGGTGTAATTATTTCGGGAAAATTCAGATTTAGTCCCATTTCTGGAGTCAAAATCTGAAATTTCGGATCCTCCCTAAATTTGTTAATGGCACTAAGCCAATTTTTAACATATCTCCTTTTTATACACCTAGGTAACCAAGGACTTTCATTGCGAATTAGAGGCCGTTATTGAAAATCCAAATCTGCACTTTTGCCGATTTTACATGTGCGCCATTTTGTTCTCTCGGACAAAGACAAAGCGTGATCACAGTCATCAAATACAGTGACAACGACATGCTTTAGGGCACCAACAAATCTCAGTTGTAATGTTAACAATGTTAAGAAATATATGAGTGTAATTATGTATTGTGAAATATATCTTTTGCATGGGAAAAAAAAGGCAACAACGATGACTGCAGTGAACGCGTTTCTGCTCGCTTCCGGACAGGCTGCGCAGTACAAGCCGTAGCACTGATGGTTTCGCGCATAGGCTAGAGGGCCGTCCCTCTATTATATGGTATATGGTCTCTGATAAAAAGTATTGCATTCCGATTGTTTTCCGTTTTCATTCATTGAAAAATATGATGACAGAAATCAGTTGACGTCAGCGATTCTTCAGATAGCCAGGTGTTGTTGATTACAGAAAAACACATTAAATGAACAGTCTGTGTAATTTGACACGCCTGGCTTCATTATCAAGATCCCTAAAGACACTCATTTGATCTTATGATCACCTTGGGCGTTTCTGAAAGTGAGAGTGATAGCCATTTTATTGCCAGGTAGTCAAAATTTACAGTTGGTATGGTTGGAATATCTGTTATGCTAAAGGTGAAAGGGAAGGGCATAATGTATTTACACAAATGTACTGGACAAATAATTATTAATTTACCATACTTTTGCATTCTGTGCACTATCCACCATATAAACTACTACAAACAGGTGCCCATGGGCCATCCACTGTGTAAACTACTACATACAGGTACCCATGGGCTATCCACTGTATAAACTACTACATACAGGTACCCATGGGCTATCCACTGTGTAAACTACTACATACAGGTACCCATGGGCTATCCACTGTATAAACTACTGCATACAGGTACCCATGGGCTATCCACTGTGTAAACTACTACATACAGGTGCCCATGGGCTATCTACTGTATAAACTACTACATACAGGTACCCATGGACTATCCACTGTATACACTACTACATACAGGTACCCATGGGCTATCCACTGTATAAACTACTGCATACAGGTACCCATGGACTATCCACTGTATACACTACTACATACAGGTACCCATGGGCTATCCACTGTATAAACTACTGCATACAGGTACCCATGGGCTCTCCACTGTATAAACTACTACATTCAGGTACCCATGGGCTATCCACTGTATAAACTACTACATACAGGTACCCATCAGCTATCCACTGTATAAACTACTGCATACAGGTACTCATGGGCTATCCACTGTATAAACTACTGCATACATGTACCCATCAGCTATCCACTGTATAAACTACTGCATACAGGTACTCATTGGCTATCCACTGTATAAACTACTGCATACATGTACCCATCAGCTATCCACTGTATAAACTACTGCATACAGGTACCCATCAGCTATCCACTGTATAAACTACTGCATACAGGTACCCATCAGCTATCCACTGTATAAACAACTACATACATGTACCCATCAGCTATCCACTGTATAAACTACTGCATACAGGTACCCATGGGCTATCCACTGTATAAACTACTGCATACAGGTACCCATGGACTATCCACTGTATAAACTACTGCATACAGGTACTCATGGGCTATCCACTGTATAAACTACTGCATACAGGTACTCATGGGCTATCCACTGTATAAACTACTGCATACAGGTACCCATCAGCTATCAACTGTATAAACTACTGCATACAGGTACCCATGGGCTATCCACTGTATAAACTACTGCATACAGGTACTCATGGGCTCTCCACTGTATAAACTACTGCATACATGTACCCATCAGCTATCCACTGTATAAACTACTGCATACAGGTACCCATCAGCTATCCACTGTATAAACTACTGCATACAGGTATCCATCAGCTATCCACTGTATAAACAACTACATACAGGTACCCATCAGCTATCCACTGTATAAACTACTGCATACAGGTACCCATGGGCTATCCACTGTATAAACTACTGCATACAGGTACCCATGGACTATCCACTGTATAAACTACTGCATACAGGTACTCATGGGCTATCCACTGTATAAACTACTGCATACAGGTACTCATGGGCTATCCACTGTATAAACTACTGCATACAGGTACCCATCAGCTATCAACTGTATAAACTACTGCATACAGGTACCCATGGGCTATCCACTGTATAAACTACTGCATACAGGTACTCATGGGCTCTCCACTGTATAAACTACTGCATACATGTACCCATCAGCTATCCACTGTATAAACTACTGCATACAGGTACCCATCAGCTATCCACTGTATAAACTACTGCATACAGGTATCCATCAGCTATCCACTGTATAAACAACTACATACAGGTACCCATCAGCTATCCACTGTATAAACTACTGCATACAGGTACCCATGGGCTATCCACTGTATAAACTACTGCATACAGGTACCCATGGACTATCCACTGTATAAACTACTGCATACAGGTACTCATGGGCTATCCACTGTATAAACTACTGCATACAGGTACTCATGGGCTATCCACTGTATAAACTACTGCATACAGGTACCCATCAGCTATCAACTGTATAAACTACTGCATACAGGTACCCATGGGCTATCCACTGTATAAACTACTGCATACAGGTACTCATGGGCTCTCCACTGTATAAACTACTGCATACAGGTACTCATGGGCTATCCACTGTATAAACTACTGCATACAGGTACCCATCAGCTATCCACTGTATAAACTACTGCATACAGGTACTCATCAGCTATCCACTGTATAAACTACTACATACAAGTACCCATCCGCTATCCACTGTATAAACTACTGCATACAGGTACCCATGGGCTCTCCACTGTATAAACTACTGCATACAGGTACTCATGGGCTATCCACTGTATAAGCTACTGCATACAGGTTCCCATGGGCTCTCCACTGTATAAACTACTGCATACAGGTACCCATCAGCTATCCACTGTATAAACTACAGCATACAGGTACCCATCAGCTATCCACTGTATAAACTACTGCATACAGGTACTCATGGGCTCTCCACTGTATAAACTACTGCATACAGGTACCCATCAGCTATCCACTGTATAAACTACTGCATACAGGTACCCATCAGCTATCCACTGTATAAACTACTGCATACAGGTACTCATGGGCTATCCACTGTATAAACTACTACATACAGGTACCCATCAGCTATCCACTGTATAAACTACTGCCAACAGGTGCCCATGGGCTATCCACTGTATAAACTACTACATACAGGTGCCCATGGGCTATCCACTGTATAAGCTACTGCATACAGGTACTCATGGGCTATCCACTGTATAAACTACTGCATACAGGTACCCATGCACTATCAACTGTATCAACTACTACAGACAGGTACCCATGGGCTATCAACTGTATAAACTACTACATACAGGTACCCATCAGCTATTCACTGTATAAACTACTACAGACAGGTACCCATGGGCTATCCACTGTATAAACTACTACATACAGGTACCCATGGGCTATCCACTGTATAAACTACTACAGACAGGTACCCATGGGCTATCAACTGTATAAACTACTACATACAGGTACCCATGGGCTATCAACTGTATCAACTACTACAGACAGGTACCCATGGGCTATCCACTGTATAAACTACTACATACAGGTAACCATGGGCTATCCACTGTATAAACTACTACAGACAGGTACCCATGGGCTATCCACTGTATAAACTACTACATACAGGTACCCATGGGCTATCAACTGTATCAACTACTACAGACAGGTACCCATGGGCTATCCACTGTATAAACTACTACATACAGGTACCCATGGGCTATCAACTGTATAAGCTACTGCAAACAGGAACCCATGGCCTATCAACCAGAACACTGTCTTTACCTCTTGACCTTGTAGTGAGATTCTGTCATGTTTCACAGAAGATGCCCTGATCATCATTCCAGTATAACCTGAATGTCCTTTGGGACACTTACTGATTACAGGACAGGAATCTATGACCTCAGTTGCTGAATACAACACAGAACAAGGAGGGTTACTTGTAAAAGGTTGGTTTTATTCTTAAAAATAAATAAATATATACAATTAAATATGCATACAGGTTTATGCTGTACAAATCGATAGCCCAAAATAAATGTACAATGCAGTGCAGCAAAAATATTGAGTTGCATTTGACTTACAAAGCTGTTATACATAAGGCAGGCTTGTGGAAGCTTCAGTGATCATTTAGTTATTGTGGACATCTGCCTGAACAGTGATCAGCAGTTTCACCACACACAAGACAACATACATCCCAGCCGCCGGGGAGGATCACTGATGTGTACCAGCAAGCACTTCTTTTCATTAGTGTCAGTGTGTGGTATTGTTGAGGATGGTTTCATAGAGGCAAGATGTCCATAGTAACATATACAAGTATTTGCTTGAACACATAATCCACTGTGCTCCACTCTATGCCCATCTTCAACAGATACAAACATGCCAAGCTCAAGTGATGCAGAACAAACACAATATGATGGTCCATTAGTCTGGATGTAATTTGGATTTAACAGGATGCCACACGCAACATCATTTTCTCCAAAGTGCCAATGAAGGAATTTAGTAATTGTCGAAAAAACAGTCTTAAGGTGACAGGAAAACTTAGTTTTGTGTTTTCAGATTTGCAAATAATATGGGCCAGCTTGAAGCATTTGTTCTACAGCCTTTTGCCTAGCTTCCATATAAACTATCACAATAACAATGCAACAGGAACAGAGCGTGGGGAACAATGTCAAAGATCATGTACACAGACATACTGGTCATAGGTAGGCAACTTTCTGTCAGTAGATAGAAAAAACACTTTAAGCATTCACATCATCCATTAACTGTAAACAACCATAAATCACAAGTCTTTTGATTCATGACTTCACTGAACATGATTTAACTTCTTTGAACATATATTTACAAATAATCCACAAATTTATAGGTCATTTCATAAAGTATAGGACATTTCCTCCAAAAGAATATTCAGTGTTTGTTAATTGATCATGGTTGCTTTTATACCTGCTACATCATGTACTAAATCACTGGGATAAAGCAATGGTAGAACACTCCTGACACATTGGATGTGTCTCAATGGAAGACGCAGATAACACGTACAGACTGAGCAACTGATTCTAGCCTACGCAGATCACAGGGTGACACACCGACACATCGTGCCTCACCTACTTCTATCACACTCTTAACACACCCAGTACACCCAGTACAGAAACAAGTTGTTCCAAGAAATGATTTTCACAATTAGGAATTGGTGGAAAAAAAGAGACGTTTTTACATTTTCATTGAATATTAGACTTAAAAACATGACATTGTTACATTGCCAGGTCATTAGATACTCTCAAATAAACTTAGAGTATGTTGAAAAATAAACATCTACTTGTCATACCATTTACAACATTGACCAGAGGTTGGACAACTAAAGAAAGAAAGTTAAGGTTTTTGTGAATCAGTTGGTTACAATTGTGTCACTGTCAGTTAAACTTTTAACACTGTTAAAATTAATAGCAAGTACATCATGCATCAGAAATGTTTCCAAAAGTCATTACAATCTTGAACAAATACATCAATTTAATGTGTCAGTTGTTAGCACAGACAGATATACAGATAACATCCATACATTAGGAATTCAAGCATTTAACACACCTTCAATACAAGATGGTAAGTAACAACAACAAATTACAACACTTCCAGTGCAACACTGTCAAATGCCAAACAAACTTTGGTTTTAATGAGGCATTGAGGAGGATAGGAATAAAGGCCAGTAAATAATATCAAAAGTGGAATAAATCCATCAATTTGGTCCAAGAGGGAGGTTTAAATAAAATGGTACAAGTGGTCCATGGGTTACATTCATTGGAAAAACATGGATGAGCAGTACACAGATTAGAAGACACCTAACTCAGGCCTTCCAATGAATTTAGACTGCAACAGAAAACTGTCCTATGCCTACAATACCCAAGGAATTGGCAACATAATACAGTCATGTCATGAGGATCAACAAATAGCCAGTACATTTACATCTTACAGCAGTAATACAATGATACACCTCTCGAATATTCTAGATTGGCGTTGTAAGATGTACACATTTACTCGCTATTTGTTGATCCTCATGATATGACTTTCAACTTCCTTTTTGTTCTGTGCATGCCGAGTTTGGAAGGCTGCAGTCTGTGTGTTTTAGTGCTGCGGTTTCTGTGTTTTCGGCAGTATGCTTTCAAATTTATGATTCTGTTTCTTAGTTCTCATTGTTTTATGTTGCCGATTCCTTATGTATTGTAGGCATATGACAGTTTTCTGTTGCAGTCTGTCAGTTTTCATTGGTAGGCCAGTAACTACAGGAAGAATCAGATTGTGAGAATGAGTGAATTGGCACACACCAGGAGATGAAGCATCACAGCTGGGTGTAAACAAATGTTTAGTTTGATATGAACTCACAAGATAAAGAACCAACCTGCTACTGATACAAGTAGGTATTTCAGCCGACCCTGTTTTCTCATACACACCAGACTGATCATGAAACACAGTTCTGATTGATAGGTAATTGGCTGAGAAATGACAGACTGGGAACTACATATTTGGATCCACAATCACCATGCCTGTGAGATTTAACACATTAACAAACGCAACACCTACAGTTCTAGGTCAATATCAGGAACATTCAGGTAAACATGCCATTTCTTACAAGGAAAATAACATTTCTGTCTTGCCATTTGTATACTGCAGAAATGTAGCCCTATCATGAATGACAGGATAAGTTCACTGGAATGCATGATGTATCAACTGTTATCCACAGTGTGAGTGAACGCTGTGGATAATACAAGGAAATGTTAGTAACTCATGCATCAGATATTTCAGAACAGTCCAGGTATAAGTTTTTCACACGTACCTGCGAGGACACAGGTTGTCAAAAGACAAGGACACCTAGGACCATTGTATGATGGTAAGCCTTCTTCATAGCATCAGAATACTGTTGTCTGGATCATAAATATGTTGGGGTGAGTGAGTCAGTGATTATGGTTTTATGCCGCTTTTAGCAATATTCCAGCAATATCACGGTGGGGGACACCAGAAATGGGCTTCACACATTGTACCCATGTGGGGAATTGACCCCGGGTTTGATGAACTAATGAATTGTCTATCTCAACGCCCCAAATAATTTGGGTACAAATGCAGACTTACAAGTTCCAATGAGCAAGGGCATGGTGCATTGATGCCAACACCCATTTCAAAATCCCCAAGAAGTAATGTAAATATGGAAGGAAAGATTGAAGTGGAAAGAAGATGAACTATGATGTTCACTGGTCGTTACGTCATATTGAGCAGAGAGCAGGTATTGTGTGTTATGAAGAAATGCATATTCCAGTGTATAAAATTCCCTAAAATTTCGGTCAAACAACTTTACAGGCAACTTTGCAAAGTTACCAGAAGAATGCTTAGAATGCTTAGGTAATATAGGGAATACAATCATAGCCTAACAACCAGGAGAGCAACTTTTCAAAAGTGACCATCTGTCAGCAAAATAGACTGGCTGTCGGGCAGGCTGGTATTTTAAACACTGCATATATACAGGTAATGGTCTTGGCGGTAGATACGAGCAGATAATTAAACTGCAATCTTGTTGGCAAACATAAATGTATCTGAAAGTCTCATTTTCTACAAGTTAAGGGACTTTTTACCACTTGAAAGGATGGAAGGCTGATTCATTACTGAATACTGAGTCTACAAAAAGACTACACTGTCAGTGTACAACAGGAGATGGTAGTATTCATGAGTACCAGTGGCTCCCTACCATACACTACTGGTCCTGATTGTCAGACGAGTAACAAGCGCCAAATACTTTCATCACCCCCTTTTGACTTCGGTATAAGAAAAATATGTGTAAACACACAACTGCTACACACATGTGCCTGTTTCGCCGATCAAACATTCCATCCTCAATCACTGTGTGCATCACACAGGGCTGATGATGCACATCATATACATAGTCTCAGTACTGTCCTTGCTCACCACAACCCTGGCAACTGTTTCTGTGAATCACCTAGAACCTGCATACCTAAGTTTAACCTAGCTCACCAGCCAGGTGTCAGGCTGTCTATGTTCTCTAGTAGAATCCATCACATACCACACACTGAGGTAACATGTTGGATGAGGCAGAGTATTATGTCTCTTACACTACTGAATCCAGTCTAAATATTCCCACCAGTCCAGAAAGGAGTAGCTTACATAGTGTTGTATTTTGTCAGTCTATGCATATACTATTAAAGCAGTCACTATACTCAGACTTGGCCAAGACACACTATATCTACATTCAATCATGTCCATATCTTTAACTCCAAAAGAGTTGGTCAGATGTTCTCACTAATCCTACATACTAAATATATGTATAACTCTTCCTCAAAGTGTCTGTCGGGGTCATCCGACTAACGGAAGCATGTTAGGGACTCCCAGCCTATAGACCATCATACCCTGATATACAGACCCCTTCATTACCCTGTGTTTGTTGTCTATAGTCTCACATAGTTAGAAGTATTTACAGGCACAAGGTGGTGTATGTGCAGTATACCTTGGAAAAACTCCGAGCTGGGACTATCAGAAGACCATACACATGTCATATATGTTGATATTTGCATATGAGAACAGACTGATGTGGATTGAATGTGGGATGTATCCAAGATGGCCGCCGCACCCCTCCATGCCCCAACTGCACGTGACAGTGGGACAGAATGCTACTTTTTCAAAACATACCTTATGATGTCATGATTGTATTGTACCAGTTTTCAACATAGAAAGTAATACATGTAGTGCTCTGGCTGGGTGCATTCCCTTGGTGCTATGGCAGTGAGATTTGCTGACAGCATCTTGGAAGAAGCCCTGGTGCTCTTGGTGTTGGGTAGAAAGGATTTCATTTGTGCATAACACATTCTAATGAAATACATATATAGGCAGTTTGTTAAACATACATCATACGGACACAAACATCAACGCATGCTTGTATGTGTACCAGCAGTACAGCTTGTCGGTTATCAGGCTATATACAATGACGCGTGTCAGATATTTACAGGAAGATCAGAAACACAGAGACCTACACAGACAAGTGCCGCAATGATGCCTCTGTTGATGCTTCTGTTGTCAGGAATATGACATGTCTACAGCCTACAAAGTTCATCTGCCTACACTGCCCTATCTGGCTAAGCATCTAGCAAAGAACCTGAATGACTCATTTCCTGGGCTAGTCTCCAGCAGTTTTGGCATAATGCTGTGGTTTAGGACATTGATGGCACTGATGTGGTCACAGTAAATGAGAAATGCTGAATGTGAATGTTATCCATGTTTGACACATGCACATTTCTTGCATGTTATTCATACACATGTCTGTGCAAGCCCTGATCAGCTTGCATGAAGAACAGTTTTGATGAAGATAGGCACCATCTCACTTCAAATCACTGACTTATATGGTGGTTGTTAGGGTAACATGGTAATCAAAGTAACAGGCTTACACAGTGATGGTTAGAATAATATCAAGAGAAGAAATGCATTTTGTCCTTGTAACTGTTGCCTGTCTTACTGACAACACAGCAGGGTGGTAGTCCGACAAAAGCATTGCACATTGCAATTAGTCCAGTGTCATAGTTCAGCACTGGGTAATACAGATTGTCTGTTCCTTCAACAATCAATGTTTAACACTTTGAGATTCTAGACACTGCACACAGAATCTCTTGGGGAATATTCCCAGCTAATATAGTAGTATGCACAATTCTCCTTCATGAGGTTTGAAGATCACAGAATAAGCCATTGCAGGTGTTCATGTTTCATACTTAGATGTGCAACAATCCATTGTCTTAGCTGGTGGATCATGGGTGGAACCCCGTTGAACAGTCAAAGCAAAATCGACCATTTCAATTCTTGCTTTTGACGTCACTCCTACAACACTAGGTTCTTCACTAAATATGTTTTGGAGAATAATCCTTTCCAGATTACTAGAGTCCTACACCATTAAATCTATGGGACTGAAATAACATGCACCATTGAGCAATGAAAAGCAGCAAGTGGAGACTTCACGCATGGGAAGATAATTCGTCTTTACTAATTGTCCCCCTTTTCACCATACACCACTGTGTGGTTTGTAGCATCTGAAATTCTTCTCCTGCTGAGAAGCCAACACACGGCTACCGAGACAAGTTGGAGAGTGTGTTAGTGGAGGCATTAGCTGTGTGCTGCATGGCACTGGCACTCTCTTCTGTACTCTGGTCTTCATAGTTGGGCACACGGAACGGAGTGGTTGTCCTCAGAATAGCTTCAATACAGTCCAAACGGTTCAGTTCTTTCAGCTTGGATATCAACAGTCTGACAGAGGCACTGTGTTGTTTGGACCACTCCTCCAGGACCCGGTCTGTCTGACTCACCTGCTGATTTGCCTCCTTATCCAACACAGGAAGGGAATCGCTCAGACCTAAAGTCACAGCCAACAGACACCAATCCCGACCCATATGTTCAGTAGGATCAAGCAGATAGCTTAGCAGTCTACGTGTGTGGATTGATAGATGCGAAATGTCAAGATCCATGCCTAAACATATACTGGCCATGATTTCCTCTGATCCCATGCAAACAATGTCTCCAAAGTCTTCATAAACTTCCCCAGACAGAACCATGGAGTGTCTGTTGTCTATCTGCATCCTCAGAATCTCTGTTGGCGAGTAGCTTCTGATTATCTTATTGTGGTCTTTCAGCTGACTTGGACTGAGAGTGTACCTCTCCACACAGAGCCCAGGACACACATTGTCTATGACCTGCTCTACAATGTTGACCAGGTCCTCCAGGAAATAGAACAAGGAAGACCGTGCCTCGGGAGAACCTCTCACCTTGATCTCAAGGTACTGTTCATGGCGGTCCATATCTATCATCCCTTCCAGGTCCCCACAGCAGTACTTGGTCCCATGATGCCACTGGTACAAGTCCGTATCATTGGATGGGTCGTCCGTATCCTGAGCAATGTTCCGCCGGAGATACACTTGTATCCTTGGGAACAGATATTTAAGCTGAGCACCATACTGGAAGCTTGTGTGGAGGCGAACACCTCCATAAACTCCGTTTGCATAGCGTTTTGTGTCTCTCTGCCACAATCCATTGAGTGTCTCCACAAAATTCAGACATGGAAACTCATATTCAATATCACCATCATTATCACAGGGTGTACACAGTTCCAAGGCCTCCAGGACTTGCAAGAGGTCAAGAGCATCTGAGTCAGCGTACATCAGCTGGAATTCATCAACTGAGAAACAGCCGGTGATGCGGGTCTGTACTATCTTGTCATGGGAGATGAGATGACCGATCACATCTGAACACAACCACTGTGGGTTGAACACAACAAGATCCTGCACAAACTCACTCTCAAGGTAGATCACCTGGAAAAACAAACAGGATCATGCACAACAGATCAAAACGTAACTAATGACTTTCCACTGATATCAGAGAAAGTAGAAAACAATTTTCTTGAATTATGTAATAATAATCTTTATATATATACAATGATCTAATTGATAGTCTTAAAGTATATCTTAATGTTGGTAAAATTCAAGAAGGGCTCAGGTAATGCTGCTATTGTGAAGCAGTGCTGCTCACCTCTCCTATGAGCTGTAGTTGTTCTGCCAGCATCTTCATGTGGCCCTCCCCTGCCAAAGGGTTGACCTTCATTCTCGTGTACTCCATGAACTGGTGCCAAGACAACACAGGGAAGGAAGAGGACGACTTCCTCCACGAAGGCAGGCTTGTCACGACAGCTTCAAGGAACCCAGTTGTCTTCGGCAGGCACTGAAATAAATGTCAAGTAATGACTAAGTATTGTTAAATAATGTTTTCAAACCTAACACATTTGTCAATGCTCTTAAATTATTTCCTTCTAAGCTCAACCTAAAATGGAATCCTGTCTGTACTTACTGCAGCAATCTCACTCTTCATATCACTCAGCTGCTGCTTGAGGACTTTGACTTCAGTGGTGGCAGCTACTGTTGCATCCAGAACAAACAGCTTGTCCACAATGTCCACATCAAACTGGAACATCTGGGCCACCTTGGACAGCAGTGAACTCCCCTCCTTGCTGATGTACTCCCCCTTGCTGTTCTTCATGCACCCTGCCTTGTCTGCATGTGTGGCCACAAGGACAACCTTTGGGGTGTTCGGCATCTTGCCACAGTGACCTGCCCAGAGAGGTGATAATACTGACTACTGTTGCCTGAACAACTTTGACAACTTAGCCTTTTCAACGCATTTACTGTATTATGTCTTACATTTGGAGTATTGGAGATAAAGATGTTCCTGAAAGGCCTCACTTGCATTGTTTTCAGAATACAGTGAGGTAACGTGAAATGAGGTCGTGTTCAAGATTATTGCAATTATATAGCGACATGTATGCACGTCTATGTTGCTTCTCGTAATAGTCCGGACTAATGCCGATTTTATAGTGCTAGCTCACAGAGATACCATACCACAGTTTAACATGAATACTCTACTCAGACACAGTATACTGACTCCAAGCCAACCACTCCTTTTTTGAGCCCCTTATTGTCGAGCACCAGGTAACAACATGTACAATCTTTTAACCTCTTTTGGTATGACACGGCCAGAGATTGAACCCCTGCCCGCTCTCCGGGCAGATGCTCTACCACTAGGCCATGGAGACATTCTTAGAATACAGTGGTAGATAGAGAAACATTTGAAAGAGTTTCCCAAGACTGAAGGGTTTCCTGAACCCCACCCACCTATGGGCAGTTGCAGTGGAATCCTGGCCTTGAGGAAGTTGAGCCAGAAGATGACCTGAGCCAGCTGTTCGTCGTAGGAGTCGACGAGGCTGAACACCACCATGTGGATGCAGCTGGTGTCCCCCAGGAAGTGGTCATACAGCATGTAGTATGGCTCATACCCAGAGTAGTCCCACACACTCAGCTCTCCAATACCTACACAAATCAGAAGACATGTAAAGGCTAGCATAAAGATGATGATAACGTTTCATTATCTGATGTTGGAGCAATTAGATTTTCTATATTCATGAAATTGATGTTTCTTTGATAATATTACTTTCTATTTTTCAATTAACATACAAGACATGCAGATAGTCTCTAAAGTGCTATCAGGTCTTCACAATGTCACTACTTGGAGCAAGCAATCAGATTGTAAAAATGTACACTGGACAGAGGGTATACAGTCACCAAGTACGCCCGTCAATACAACCATACAGTCACCAAGTACTCCTGTCAATACAACCATACAGTCACCAAGTACACCAGTCAATACAACCATACAGTCACCAAGTACTCCTGTCAATACAACCATACAGTCACCAAGTACACCTATCAATACAACCATACAGTCACCAAGCACTCGAGTCAGTACAACCATACAGTGTCCAAGTATTCCCGTCAATACAACCATACAGTCACCAAGTAGTCCCGTCAATACAACCATACAGTCACAAAGTACTCCTGTCAATACAACCATACAGTCACCAAGAACACCTGTCAATACAACCATACAGTCACCAAGCACTCGAGTCAGTACAACCATACAGTGTCCAAATACTCCCATCAAATCAACCATACAGTCACCAAGTACTCCTGTCAATACAACCATACAGTCACCAAGTAGTCCCGACAATACAACCATACAGTCACCAAGTACGCCTGTCAATACAACCATACAGTCACCAAGTACACCTGTCAAAACAACCATACAGTCACCAAGTACTCATGTCAATACAACCATACAGTCACCAAGTACTCCCGTCAATACAACCATACAGTCACCAAGTATTCCTGTCAATACAACCATACAGTCACCAAGTACACCTGTCAAAACAACCATACAGTCACCAAGTATTCCTGTCAATACAACCATACAGTCACCAAGTACGCCCGTCAATACAACCATACAGTCACCAAGTATTCCTGTCAATACAACCATACAGTCACCAAGTACACCAGTCAATACAACCATACAGTCACCAAGTACACCTGTCAATACAACCATAGTCACCAAGTACGCCCGTCAATACAACCATACAGTCACCAAGTACGCCCATCAATACAACCATACAGTCACCAAGTACGCCCGTCAATACAACCATACAGTCACCAAGTAGTCCCGACAATACAACCATACAGTCACCAAGTACACTCGTCAATACAACCATAAAGTCACCAAGTACGCCCGTCAATACAACCATACAGTCACCAAGTACGCCCATCAATACAACCATACAGTCACCAAGTACGCCCGTCAATACAACCATACAGTCACCAGGTAGTCCCGACAATACAACCATACAGTCACCAAGTACGCCTGTCAATACAACCATACAGTCACCAAGTACACCTGTCAAAACAACCATACAGTCACCAAGTACGCCTGTCAATACAACCATACAGTCACCAAGTACACCTGTCAAAACAACCATACAGTCACCAAGTACTCATGTCAATACAACCATACAGTCACCAAGTACTCCCGTCAATACAACCATACAGTCACCAAGTAGTCCCGACAATACAACCATACAGTCACCAAGTACACTCGTCAATACAACCATAGTCACCAAGTACGCCCGTCAATACAACCATACAGTCACCAAGTACGCCCATCAATACAATCATACAGTCACCAAGTACTCCTGTCAATACAACCATACAGTCACCAAGTACTCATGTCAATACAACCATAGTCACCAAGTACTCCAGTCAATACAACCATACAGTCACCAAGTACTCCAGTCAATACAACCATACATACTCATAATGTACACAATCATGCAGACCCACCAAAACATCAAACATTACTTAACATTGTTTTTTTCTGTCATGAAGGTAGTGTACCTGTGATATTAAACTAACACTACGGGGGATACGTACCTGTGATATTCACCTAACACTACGGGGAAGTTTACCTGTGATATTCACCTAACACTACGGGGGATGCGTACCTGTGATATTCACCTAACACTACGGGGAAGTGTACCTGTGATATTCACCTAACACTACGGGGAAGTGTACCTGTGATATTAAACTATATCTACGGGGAAGTGTACCTGTGATATTAAACTAACACTACGGGGAAGTGTACCTGTGATATTCACCTAACACTACGGGGGATGCGTACCTGTGATATTAAACTATATCTACGGGGAAGGGTACCTGTGATATTAAACTAACACTATGAGGGATGCGTACCTGTGATATTCACCTAACACTACGGGGAAGTGTACCTGTGATATTCACCTAACACTACGGGGAAGTGTACCTGTGATATTCACCTAACACTACGGGGAAGTGTACCTGTGATATTCTACTAACACTACAGGGAAGTGTACCTGTGATATTCAACTAACACTACGGGGAAGTGTACCTGTGATATTCAACTAACACTACGGGGGATGCGTACCTGTGATATTAAACTATATCTACGGGGAAGTGTACCTGTGATATTAAACTAACACTATGAGGGATGCGTACCTGTGATATTCACCTAACACTACGGGGAAGTGTACCTGTGATATTCACCTAACACTATGGGGAAGTGTACCTGTGATATTCACCTAACACTACGGGGAAGTGTACCTGTGATATTCTACTAACACTACGGGGAAGTGTACCTGTGATATTCAACTAACACTACGGGGAAGTGTACCTGTGATATTCTACTAACACTACGGGGAAGTGTACCTGTGATATTCAACTAACACTACGGGGAAGTGTACCTGTGATATTCTACTAACACTACAGGGAAGTGTACCTGTGATATTCAACTAACACTACGGGGAAGTGTACCTGTGATATTCACCTAACACTACGGGGGATGCGTACCTGTGATATTAAACTATATCTACGGGGAAGTGTACCTGTGATATTAAACTAACACTATGAGGGATGCGTACCTGTGATATTCACCTAACACTACGGGGAAGTGTACCTGTGATATTCACCTAACACTATGGGGAAGTGTACCTGTGATATTCACCTAACACTACGGGGAAGTGTACCTGTGATATTCTACTAACACTACGGGGAAGTGTACCTGTGATATTCAACTAACACTACGGGGAAGTGTACCTGTGATATTCTACTAACACTACGGGGAAGTGTACCTGTGATATTCAACTAACACTACGGGGAAGTGTACCTGTGATATTCAGCTGCTGTATCTCCACTCCCTTGGTGTAGATGGGGTTTCCGACTGTGTAGCACAGAGGGGTAGGCAAGCTGAACTGACGAGACAACTTATTCTTGGCTGCAACAGAAATTGATAGACACCTTACTCACAGTTATCTTCAACCAAATACAACCGGGGCATGGATTATCAATATTGTGATTTTGTCCTTAGACGTAAACAGTATAAATTCACTCATCCGGAGACAAAGTTGGCTTGATTATTGAAGAAAAATTCTATTTTCCTGTGTCTCTGTGTCCTTTTCCACCACCATTAATGAATGACCATTGCTAGGCCGTAATTAAACCAAAAAAACCATTTGCTTTATGCAGCCACTACGACCTGCCACGATGTCTAACAACATGTTGCACAAATGGCTACATGGTTCCCTGATGAGCCAATCAGAGAGCGTGTTCCAAAGTGTCATAGAAATCAGAACAAGCATGTAAACAATACACTGCCTCAGTTGGATTGGTCATAATAGCAATGTTTACACATTCTCAAAGCTATATTTAGTACTCGTTTAAAATATTTAATCGGATTGTCGAAAGATCTGCAAAATCTTACAGATATCCAGGGATAACTCAAGCTGATTAGCCTGTCCGTCTATATCACATTATGGGTGGGCAAGCCAGACATTGACTTTCTACACCCCTGACAACTAATTATACTTATAGATGCATCAATACAGGTCAATTTAAACACAACAAATGTCCAGTTTTAAACTTTTCCTCACTTTTACTTTTGCCACTTGTGCTGCCTTGTCTACTTCGCCGAAAGAAACTTCCGAAGTAGCTGTACTTGAGTGTCTCGATGAGGGTGGACTTGCCGACGCCGGTGGAGCCCAGCAACTTGAGCTTGATGCGATTCAGTGGCTGGGGCTGGGGAATCAGCTGACTGATGTACATGGAGCCGCGTTCCTGTAACAGGCATACACTAAGAATAGACGGCAATACATTTCTCATCCATAGAGTAGGATATAGCTCTCTGGTGAGATTAGAGGGCAATACATTTCTCATCCATATAGTAGGATATAGCTCTCTGGTGAGAATAGAGGGCAATACATTTCTCATCCATATAGTAGGATATAGCTCTCCGGTGAGAATAGAGGGCAATACATTTCTCATCCATATAGTAGGATATAGCTCTCCGGTGAGAATAGAGGGCAATACATTTCTCATTCATATAGTAGGATATAGCTCTCTGGTGGGAATAGAGGGCAATACATTTCTCATCCATAGAGTAGGATATAGCTCTCTCGTGAGAATAGAGGGCAATACATTTATCATCCATACAGCTCTCCGATGGGAATATAGGGCAATATATTGTTCATCCATACGGTAGGATAGAAGCTCTCTGGCAGAAAGAGAGGGCAATACAAAAGATTTTTGATGAAATGTAAACACAAGTAATCTCTCAAAAACCACTGCCAGAAATCTATGTCTGTCCTTATGTGCAGCTATACTCACCCCTCGGACTTTAGAGAGGAGATCTCCGATACCAGAAAATCCCTGGGCCAGAGCCATGATCTCCGCAGTCATCCCATCCTGCATTAAACACTGGCATTAGATAGATGCACAACAACAGCACAACAGCAGAGATATATGGAATCAGAGGTATGTAAGCTTAAGCTTTTACAGAAATCAAATTTGCATGTACATTTAGTCAACAATTGTTGGCTGGTTCCATTTGGTAATGAGAGATCACGAGACACGTATGGCAAGCTCTACACATGGCTTCAGGTGACAATACCTTGTTGGGGATATCAGCATTAGCTCCTGCCAGCAATAGGCACCGGACAATGTCTATATGGCCTGCCTTGCTGGCTAGATGGAGGGGTGTCAAACCATCCTGGAGAAGAACAAGTTCACATTTCAGAGCATTTCTTAGAGGGTTATATACAGCAAACACTATACCGCGCACAGAAGGGGATCATTCTCTATCAGGTGACAAGAGACAAGACATCTGGATGCGTTTCATGTACCTCACACTGCATTCAACTCAAGTAATAGGAGTTCCAACAAAACCAGAAAAACCTCTAGGTGACATCTTAAATACTGTCAACCACCAAACAATTTAAAGGCCCTCCTCAGGAACCAATACAAGATCCTTGACAGTGAACCAATTCCAGTCTCTAGAGATATGACATTGTTACAGGGTTTAAAGCCATGGGTATGTCAGACTTGCTACTATACCATACATGTAGTTTTTAAAGTGTAGAAACGCTACCTCAAAAACTGCTTTTTCAATATCATTGTGCATTTACCTATATATACATTGATATTAAAAAGGATCTAGAATTCAATCTGAATATCATCTAATTTCTATGAACACCAACTTAAAACAAATTTCTTTAATGCTATAAAGCTTTCGATTAGTAGATTCCTAAGACAAGTATAGTCTGATTCATCTAGTGTGATATGTGACCCATGTCAAGTTGCCAAGGCGAAGTACTTACAACACTGACTGTGTCCACTTTACAGCCCAGCTCACACATGGTGTGCACTATAGAGAGAAGTCCCTCTCGGGCGGCTGCATGCAGGGCACTCTGTCCTGTCTCCTGAAACAAGGGCAAGCTTACTGCATCACTTACAACAGACACACACACCTCATCTGGAGTTCTGAAGCACACTAATGACCACGGGACACTGAGCTACACAGATCTTATAGCAAAAGGACTTTCTACTCAAACTTAAAGCACATATTTTGTTAACCCTGGATGTACAAATATTTATCACACAGATCATGCGAGAGAGATGATAGTTATATGCACAATTGTTACCTTCTCCATGAGATCCATCTCACATCCCGCGTTGAGCAAGAGGAGAGCTATGGATGTGTGATGCCTGTGACATGCCATGTGGAGAGACGTACTTCCTCTCTGTTGGGAACAATAGGGAGGTCATACACACATACACATTAAGTAGAACCACATGGGTGTCGGGAGGGTATTGCATCACCAGCATACAGGGCATAGCACACACATGTGGCATTGGTAAGGGCACTGACAACTTTCACATGACCCTCTCAAGCAGGTTCAGTCTGATAAAATCATATTTAGACTAGAGCTACACTTGATTATCTGGATTATTATGACACAGAGCATAAGAATATGTTAAAAGTATGGTGTAATATAATATATTTACAAATTTCATATGTGATGACTAATCCCAAAAGAAATGTATTTCCTGAATGCTAACTACAGTCTGGAAACCTCGAGATAGCAATTCACAGTGTTAAGGTAGAACTACGAATTTTGAGTTTGGGTTTTCCACACAAGGCGAATCCAAATAAAAATAATAATAAATAGCTATGTATCATTTATTTATTTATTTATTTATTTTTTTATTTATTTATGAGGAGTTAAAACTGAAACTAGCTTCTTGAATCACTGATAGTGATGAAGACATGGAATTTATAACATTTTAACTGTATATGAAGGTTTATTTTACTAGCGGAAAAAATAAAATAAAATAAAAAATAAATAAAATAAATACATGTTTCATTTTTTTCTGGGACTGGCTGGTTTTAAGTAGGGGAAGCGGGGCCCATGGAATGAAAAACAAAAAAACGTTGTCATTTCATTGAGACAAGCAGACTTGTAGGCTAAAATGGTTTATCAGAGAATATCATTGCTACTGGTAGTAAGAGTTTCACTAATAGTGTAAATGACAATATATCACTAAAAATATATCCCAATATATCAGTAACAGATTAACAGAATATATCCACATAAAAGTACAGAACATCATATCATTAACATTTTTGCAGATGCATACCATCGAAATGTATATGACAGAACATATTATCAGAGCCTAACATGTGATAGAGGGCTTGGTGTGGGAGGTACCTTGTCCATGTGGTTGAGTGGTGCTCCATGTTCCAGCAGGATCTTCACACATGGTAGATTGCCACGGACTGACGCACAGTGCAAGGCCGTCTCCCCCTCCTGCCAACACCATGTACAACCGTCAGTACAACCATACAAGTCACCAAGTACACAGTCAGTACAACCATACATAGTCACCATGTACACCCTTTAATACAACCATATAAGTCACTAAGTACACGGTCAATACAACCATACATAGTCACCAAGTACACCCTTCAATACAACTACACATACTCACCATGTACACAATCAACAATAGTTATCATTGTTCATAATTCTAAGAATACTTCCTCTATTACATCATTTCCATAAATCCTGTATTTTGGCTGCAATCATACCATACTAAAACTTTCAGATTTTCAACTGTCAACTATACAACGCCAGTTATCTCCCCTTCAGCACTAGCAGCTCACAGTTCCTACTTCTTTCCAAACACCTACTAGAGATAGATGATAGGGGAGGTGGGAGTACTTCTGATGAACTAGAGGAAGTATTCTTAGAATTATAAACAATGAATACTATTGTTTGATAATTCTTGCGAATACCCTACCTCTATTACATCATTGCCAGAATATACCAGGCAGGTTCTGCCTCCAGTACACTCTCCATATAGTTGACAGTATATCCTATAATCCTTGTGCTTCCATCCCATAACTGTTTCAAATCCCCAAAAGATGTTACAGCTTTAACCATTTCCAGAGGACTTGAAAATTGTATAGTGGAATAATCAGTCTATACGTGATATCTTCTCTAGAACTACACAGTACTGTTATATTGCTGTTATCCCCATTTATGACTATCCTTATGCTTGGATGGCATAATTTTTATATATTTCCACCGACACTTCCAATCTAAATGATGTGATTTCCTGTTGTCACCATGATGTCACTTCTGTTTTCTATGACTTCACTTCCGATCTAAATGAAGTCATTTTTTTTCCTTTGACATCATTTCAGGCCCCTATGTCGTCACTTCCGGTCATCTAGTTTACTTAACTGTGATGATATGTAGTACCTTGAAGGATTATCATCAAAGGGAGAAAGGTGTACTCACCTTCTAAACCTGCAGGGGAAAACCCTCAGAACAATGGGTGAACTTATCCCATCTGTTGTCGTAAAGGAGAGAGGAATATGATCTCCAAGATTTAGCCACCGCTGCAGAGGCAGATTCAGAGAATCCGGAGGCTTGTATTCTTTCCATGATAGCTTCCAGGTGATGAAATTGAGGTTGAACAGGTTCTTGTAAACGATGTCCGACCTGACATGGGTCGACGCAGCAGATTTCTGCATAACGGTAGTGGGAGAAGATCTCCTATTAGCAGAGTAAGTAGTCTAGAAAACCAGAGTCTTTTGGGCCACATCGGGGCAATCAGAATGACGATACAATCTGTCGACTCTATCTTCTGTATCCATGGGGGGGGAAGGCATACGCAAAAAGATTGGTCCAATACATGCACAGAGCTCGATGTGTAAGCCTCTTGGATCCGGAACAGGACTGATGTAGACTGGTAGCTGATGGTTCAGGCAAGTCGCAAACAAATCTAGGTTCGGTGAGTCCCATGTCACGATCCATAAGAAAATGTCCTGATGGAGTGTCCATTCCATGGATACGAACCTTCTGTGTTTTGACAGGTTGTCTGCAGGGATGTTCAATTTCCCTGGAATACATCTCGCTTCCATCCGGCAGTTGTATGCCTTGGCCATGTCGAATAAATGTGAGTTCTCCAACATCAGATAGCTGGATTTGGTGCCCAAGACTCCGGTAATAACTGTCCACAGGACTATTGATGTGTAACGGGTGTGCCCGTACAGTGGTCCTGCTGAGTCTGCTGGTAGTCTAAGTGACTGTCCGATCAGGCACCATACAGTGGCTGAGCTGTCTCTCTACTGGCAGTCCAGGAGTCGGTAGAGCCTGTGCAGTCCATGTGGTAACCAGACGGTGGTCGTACATCTCTAACGGTAGTGCTGGAGCAGCTTGGACAACTTGGGATGGTCAGAAGTCTTCTTCTCTATAGGCTTAGGTCGCCGGTTGACCCGAACAGCCCAGTCCCCCATGGGGGTAAGGCGGATGGCTGGCTGGAGACGTCTGATGATCATCCGTCATGGACAGTACCCCATACAGCCTCTTGTCCGGGGGATTCTTCTGTGTCTGGGCAGAATCTCATCTTTTCAGCCGTTCTAACTCAAGCAATAGAGCTGAAAGACAGGATTCAAATAATGTTGTCATCTCAGTTTTTTCCCTAAGCAAAAGGTTGCTCAAGCAGGTCGATTGGGAAGGCATCTTGGGCTGGTGGTACAGACGACTGTTTAAGATCTGACAGCTGCTTAGATAGAGGGGTCTGCTTCTCAAACTGAGAGTTGATATCATCAACTTTCTCCTTATCTTGGTAAAGACTTTCTTGGAGAGGGGAAGACAGAGGGAACAGCGATCTTCCTCAGAACATGTTGATTCCCTACACTTCCAGCATTCTAGATAAGGGTCGCATGAGATCATAAATCGGCCACATTTGTGACAAGCTGATTGAGGAGGAGAGGTTCGCAAGAAAAACACTATCACAACCAAATACTCACACATGAAAAAAAGCCCATAAAACTACTATTATAGTAGAATAAGCAACTATACTGAAAAATTAGCTATAATGTGATTACATAACGTGTTAGAGGAGATCGTACGTATGACATGTTGACTCTAGCACACTCAGGAAAGAAGTGAGGTTTCCTGCCATCAAGCACAAAGGTGCTGTGATCTGCTCGTGCTGAAAGGGGAGATAACTCGCGTTGTTTAGTTGACAGTGAAGAGGACCCAGTTGAAAATCTGAAAGTTTTAGTATGGTATGATTGCAGCCAAAATACAGGATTTATGGCAATGATGTAATGAAGGTAGGGTGTTCGAAAGAATTATGAGGGAATAATACCCCCTGGGGTTGGATTCCACCCTGGCCATTGTATATAGCTACTGTATAGTGATTCTATAGTGATAGATGCAGCTAGGGGAACTACATCGGGGTGCATGTGAATGATGCTTCCACAAGTCCTTGTGCATTGACCTTTATTATGAGGTAACAATATGAGTTATTAATGTAGCGAATACACGTGTTAAATACCCCTAAAACAGAACGGAAAGACACAATCAGACTAACATGAGATAATAAATCATACCGGCAATAAAAGATCAATCAGAGCAGAGAATGAAGATGCAATCAAATTATGAAAATTAGTAGTTGGGGTACTGAGTTGCTCAAAACATGAAGTTAAACTGAATGCTGTACAACACTGACCACAAAGTAAAAGAACCTGTTAGCAGTTGTACCTTGTTTTGAATATCAAGAACTGCATCAGCAAAACATAGGCTTCGAACAATATGTGAAAACCCATGCCAAGCAGCACTGTGAGCGGGGGTCTCGCCAAGCTGGAGAGAGATGGAGGTTCACATTTAGTACACACAACACACACAAGCCGCAAAGGAAAAATAATCATATCCAAACTTTAAAAGGAAAGATTAGGCCATGCTGAAACACAAATTGGCAAATTTAACATCATGTTAACTAACTTCTGGACTTGTCTGTATTTGAGTCTAGCAATTTGTTAGTGTAGATCACAAACAATAATTAAGCTAGCTCAGTTATTCCAAGTGAGATCAGTCGAAGGACATGTTTTTTCTAAGACAATCAAATTACAAATTTCAGGTAGTTTAAGTTAAGTATCTCTCTTAAAGGTACATGTTGTTGGAAATAGCCCTGCATTGAATTGAGTTGTCTCCTTTGACACGCAGGTGAAACAAGAAACTCTTCCTGGTAAGTTCATTATCACATGCCCTGAGTACATGTTGATGTTTACTTAGATATACTGCTGTACTACTTTGTTCTGCACCAACAAAACAACTTTTTTTTCAATCAAGTGAGAATATCATCATGCTGTTAAGGTTAGTCGAGGGTAGGATTCATGGTTATCAAATATGAAAAGATCAGTTGCCAAAATTAGGTCAAGAATAAACTTTGAAGGGGTTGCATTATCAAGACGCAAATACCCCAGATCTGTATCTAGAATGTTTAGTTCAGAACAATGTTCAGCTTTCAGTGTTCACCAGTAGGGCTAGTGTTGGGACTATTACAGGACACTGTTTCCTTCAGTGGTTGTACATTGTGTTGACTACTGGAGACAGTGTGAGAGGTGGGAGTACCATGCTGTACATAACAGTGAGGTGACCATGCAGTACTCACACTGTCCTGGAGGTTGATGGAGACGCCAGCTTCACACAGGTGGTCCACCACATGGGCGTGGCCATAGCGCGCAGCAACATGAAGGGCGTTCTCACCGGACTGTGGAAACAGTCACATACAGTGAGCGAAAATGGAATAGATTAAAGATATCATACATGAAACATTTTCTCCTAATGATAAAAAAATAACACCATGCAATATACTCTTATCCATTTACTCATCAAGAATTTTGAATATTTCAGTATCTTCCAAAGATGTCACTTTCTTACTTCCTCAATACATTCCATCATATACAGACTGGCCGTCATATAGCGGGAATATTGTTGAGTGCAGCGTTAAACAACAAACAAAGAGGAGCCAAACACAATTTCCTCAATCCCTTTATGCTCATACAACAAGTCCCCACTATTTAGAAAATCACCAAGATTACATGTGGTTCTTCTAACACCATTATCATATAACAGCTGTGTACCTTGTTTTTGCCATCCAGTGGGACGTTAGCTTCCTGCAGGTACTTGATGACGTCTAGCTGGCCTTGCCGAGCCGCCCAGTACACAGCACTGTCTCCTTGCTGAAAGTACATCACATTGTTGGAGAAATGGCATAGATAATAGATTGTGTTAGGTTCTGGTCTTGGTGTTGGACATTTCACTGGATCAGTGCTATAGTAGTGGATCAGTGCTATAGTAGTGGATCAGTGTGGCTGCAGGTTTCTCAGATCCTGGGTGACTTGTTCTATTTCAAACTTACTGATGAACATAGCACTCAACGGCAAACCTCATCACTTTTAAGATTGTTGCAATAGTTTATGTATGTTTGTAAGTGGGAGCTTGTAATTCTTTTGTAGAAAATGTCTTGAATTTGCCTCCTAAAATACATCTTTGAACTCTGAATGATCTATCCAGGTAACCAAGACAGTAGGCAAATTATCACCCCTTGACTGAGACCCTATTCAGCTTGGATAGATTTATGGAATTCAGCCTGCGAACATGACTGAACATACTTCTAACTTCTTAACATGGTCAAACACTTAACAGTAACAAACTGTCACTAAGTTTCTCCAGTCAGTATCAACAATACAGATGGCTACACATGCCTGGGAATAGTTTAAATGGTATGTTTCAATGTTCTGCTGAAGTGGGAACGAGCATGTAACAATACCACCCGACTATTCTCCCCCCCACCCCACCCCACCCTCCAACACACACACACACACACAGGTGTGGCATTCACACAGGTGATTACTGGCAGTGTTGGCTCTGATTACCGTATCCTGATACCTCTGTGTTAACTGGCTGGTGTGACAATGACAGCAGCCACATACTATGTAGGCAGGACTGTGCATGATTCAAGCTGTCAACACGGGGTAAGGTTAGGATTACACCGTCTTTTGTGAAAGTGTTAGAACGTCCTGACATGACAAAACCTTGTACACCTGTCTTAATCCTTGCTTTAGTTCCCAGAAACATCAGTTTCTTATTGTTTAAAAAATTGCAACAAAACTAATTCATTGAAACCGATGAGGAAATGTGTACAAGTACGACACTGATCCTTGGAATATCTTGCAATATTAACTGAGTGAGTGAGTGAGTGAGTGAGTGAGTGAGTGAGTGAGTGAGTGAGTGAGTGAGTGAGTGAGTGAGTGAGTGTGATATTACGCCGCTTTTAGCAATATTCCAGCAATATCACGGCGGGGGACACCAGAAATGGGCTTTACACATTGTACCCATGTTGGGAATTGAACGGGGGTCTTTGGCGTGACGAGCGAACGCTTTAACCGCTAGGCTACCCGACCGCCCCAAATATCAACTGACAGAGCTGTCATCAGGAGACAGGAAATACCCTCATGACATGAGAATGAATAACACGTACTGTCCAGAAGGGCAAGCATAAGATGGTTCCTTCAAAATGAACTTACTACTCTTGATGAGTATAGTACGAAAGTACAATAATACAGTTGCACCTCTTCTTTTAATGTCAGATATCAGGAGTCAGAGCAAGTAAAACCTTTTAATGGACACACTTATTCTTCATTGACACTGGACAGTGAAGGGTTAAGTAAATGCATAGACCAATGCCAACCCCATTTAAAAGGAGTACACATCACTCAGAACTGTCTCAAAGGACTCTCCCGGTTATCTCAATCACTTTACAGTGTCAGCCAAACACTCATCCACTAGCTGTGACCTTAGCTCTGACCCACCTCCCCACCCTTAACTCTGCACAATCATCTTTGCGTCTGAGCAAACAGAGTCCCTCATCCTTACCTTATCTCTAACTCCCACATCCACACCCTTGGACTGCAAGAACTTGATGACATCCACGTGGCCTCCGCTAGCTGCCATGTGTACTGCAGTCTCACCATGCTGAAACAACAAACATCATTTCTTATCTGTTTTCAGTTATTTCCTAGTACTGCCCCAATAGTGGTGAAGAGGCTTCAATGTTTTGCAAATGACTGTTGCTTGTGTACGAAACTTTTCATAACCCACTGAATGCAACTAAATCAGGAAGACTTTTATAAACCCCTTTGCAATAATACTTGCTGCCCTTACGAACTCATTTCCATAGAAGCTGCATGCATTAAATTGTATGAGAGGTCACTAGCATTCCATGTATTTTGTCATGCATGTGTTATATCAGACCTGACATCATCTATAGATCTACATCAACAAAAAGTAAAGACCCCGGTGAACATATCTGTCAAACCTGACATATTCAATCACATAAGAAACTGTGAATGCAAGATGTCTGTGATGGCTGCTACTTCCTTCTCTATCCCAGCTTACCCAGACACCAATACAATGTTCATTCTTTGTGTCACACAAGACACAACTTCCATAAAGGACTACTAGTTAATCTTGCTAGCAAGATGACATACTTTCACAAGAGGGCTTGATACTTAGAAATGTCAGATGTGTAGGTGTACACTGTACATATTTCAGTCTCATGTTCACAAAACATATTCCCCGAGAGCAGCAATAACACCCAGCAGTGGCATCACATATTTCCTCTGCAGGAGTTTATTTCAGCTCCTACATCACATATTATCACAAAAACTGACAGAAGCAATGGAACAAAACACTAGAAACACTGCAGTAGGTTTCTGTTTCCTAGGCAACCAGAGCGATATCTAAGCAACTCTTCATTTACTATATTTTCTCAACAACTGTCTGTCATTATATTTGAAAACATTTGATAAAAGCTGCTGATCAATTGCTACAGCTTGCAATGCCATGCATATTCAGAGCATAAGTACCACTTATGAAACTGAGTAATGAAAAAAAATATATACTTGAATTCAACCCAATGAAATGACAACAGTGGATATTTGGTGTATAAGAATGTTTGGACAGTATACATCACTTGCTTGTGACAAATTTTTAACGAAAAAGTGTGACAGTCACAGATGACTTAGTCACAACTCCACATTCATTTGAACATCCTCTTTTTATCTTAGCCACCATTGTTATCATGAACATATATTAACAGTTTTGTCAGTCGTCTTGGTTACAGACTCATGCATTTTCATACATACAACTCAAATAAATCGATGCATATCACCGCCAGTACAGCTTCAATAATGAATAATGAATAATATCAATTCATTGACAACTGGAAAGTGTTTTTCTGCTGATCTCAGTTACATATAGAAGATGCAAGCTATAAGACAGCGATCTGTAAATAATTGAGTCTGGACCAGACAATCCAGTGATTGTTATCATGAGCATCGATCCACGCAATTGGGATTGATGACATGCTTCAACCAAGTCAGCTAGCCTGATCACCCGATCCCATTAGTCGCCTCTTACGACAAGCATAGTCGCCTTATTATGGCAAGCATGGGTTGCTGAAGACCTATTCTACCCATCCATTGATGATGGAAAAGAAACAGTTAACATATGTCTCTAAATTGATATTAGTATCTGTTCACGTGTTTTTAACATTTTAAGATAATTGTACATCATGCAAAGTACTTCATTAATAATATAAGATTCAAACTATCACTTGCATTTGAAACATAAACAAAATATATTTAATCTCGTATTCATCATTTCATCAACTAGGCAAAATGTGATTTTGAAACCAATGAATATTGTTGACTGCTTCCTGATCACTAGACACATTGTCCAACTGTCTCTTTGTATTTCAAGCCTAAGTTTACCTAAGAAAGATTTTCCCATCCCTTGCAACATATGCTGAACAAAGAAAATTAGGAAAGATGAATATTTTGTAGTGAAGACCGAGCACACAATTTCATAGAAATATCCCTATAACTATTCACGACCCCTTACTTTTCTGTTCTGTCTAGCAGCTTCTTCACACCACCCTTGCAAGTTACATGGCATCAGGTAAACCAGTGGGTGATAGTGTGAGGACCAATTCGCACCATCAGTGCACAATGTAAGTCCGAACTGCATAGTCCCTGGTAGTCACCTAGCCATGTATGAAAAGCAACCTTTGTGGCCACTGTTTGCCATTTCAGTTGTCTCAAAAGATCAGTACCATGTTCATTGTAATTTCCATTGAATGTATGTATTTAATTTCCTGAATATAGAGAAGGTTTCTACCTTGGAAAATTTGCAGACTAGGCAGGCCTATTGACCTACTAATGTCACTTTCTGAGGATTCAAATCAATTTCTAGCATACAAGCTAGATTGGACTTCCTGTCGGTTCAATTCCAGTAATAATACCAGTGGTGTTTGTCACAATTGATTATGTTTGTAGCTATATTTGATATCAATACTGTTCATGGGGACAGCTCTTTAGAGACATTGGTAACCCCAGATAAAACATCTCTCCAGAAACCATCTGCACAACCTAGTCAATGTCTGTGTCAGTTGTATAGGCAGGTCCATCATTCAGTCAGTGCACACTGCATGGTGCTCTGATCTATTATATTCTCATTGATCATGCATCATGTATCAGGCTCATTATAACTGATCATATTCTGGATCTTCCAGGAGTTGGTTACAGGAAGAACAGTATTGTCTTGGATACTGAAGACTCTTCAAAGGTGAGGTGAAATGATGTTTAACATCGTGTTCAAGATTATTGCATTTATATGGCAACGTGCATGCATGTGTGTGTGTTTGTGTGTGTGTGTGTGTGTGGATGCTTGTACTAGTCTGGACTAAAGCCAATTTTATGGTGCTTGCCCACTGAGATACCATGCCGCAGTTTAACATGAATACCCCAAGTAGACACAGTATACAGACTCTGAGCTGACCAGTCCTTGTTTAAGCCCCTTAATAATGAATGCCAGGCAGGGTAACAACAAGTATCATCTATTAAACACCTTTGGGTATGACTTTGCCAGGGATTGAACCCCAGAAATTCCTCTCTCGGTGAGATGCTCTAACATTAGGTGGTCAACTTTTCTGAGACATCAGGCACCAAACATTTAAAATAATCTGCTTTCTTTCCATATTGCACTGCACTAAGAAATCTCATTCAAGGCTGTATTACCATATTCAATGTAATAAGCGCTTAGGGCTCTCTCAAAATAGAGAAACAGGGAGTGCCTATAATATGATTTGGTAAAAAAACAAACAGAATTGAAAGATTGCAATTTTGTGGTTTGGCAAACGAAGAAAACGATCTGTCTCAGTATTATATCCCTTAAATTCAGATCTTTATGTCTCTTACAAATACTACTACGTGCATGCTTGCACGTATAAACTTACATATCTGCGTATTTGTAATACAATGAGTAAAAGTGTCGTCGACACCATTGTTCCAAACAGGAGGTACCGGTTATGAGCAGGTAAAGTTGAAAAATAAAATATAAACATGTATTTTGTGTTTGTGATTTTCAAATACTACCATATATCACTTACCTTTATAATTCTGTGACAATGATGATATATTTAATGTTTATTACCACTTCTTTGTTTCAGCTATTCGTTTGTAAAATGAACTTGAAATATTTTTCTCAAAACGCGTTTGTTGCTATTATGTCGTCTATACTGCTGGCCATGACAGGTCACCACTTCAACAATCGACAAATCTAGCTTTTGAATGAAAATACTACAACTACGTACCTAAACTTTATTTATAAACATTTTCAGAAGAAAATATATGCAAATATCCTAAAAATTACATCGTGTTTTTAATTAATCATTGCTTTTAAAAGTAACATTACTTTGAACAACACCATTGCCACAAGCTAATTTGCATATCACGTGACCAGACTTTTCTCTAATTTTTAAACAAATGCTGAAATCAGAACAGACTGGCCCTTTACATATTATATAGAAATGGTACTAAAACTGCTATTGTGAGATGCACAACAATATATATTTATAAATCAAAGTGACAGTATCGCTACCTCCATGGCTTCAATGACAGCACATCATGTAAAAAAAGGAAACCTACGCAAAGGGAAATGTTTTTCACGTTTTAAGATATTTTGTCGTTGAATGTTAACCGTGACTTATGTTTATCTAGTTGTGTAGACTCGTCAAAAATGAAACAGAAGAAAATATGATCGGTGTTGTTGTGAATAATATGAATAACAGAATGTGGTAAAGCTGGCCCTGTGGAACGGGGTAAACAGAAGTTGTAAGTATTGGAGGGACACACAATTTAGCCAAATTTAATGTAAACATTATTGAATGAAGTCCAGATATAGCATGAACACTTAAATAGTGTAACAACAGGGGTTAACTTAATTGCATAATTCAGCTACTCTATTTCCGATGACGAATCATGACCGTCATATACTGACAGTCTGAAATGATAATTAAAAAAAGTCTGGGCATATAATACACGAGAGATATATTTTATCAGGATTTAATTGCCCATAATTAGGGGTGCATATTATACATAAGTGCATATTATACACAAATAAATATGGTAAGTAAGTTTTGGGTACATTGATCAATCGTAAGGGGCGCTTTTGGGGATTGTTCACCTGCCAATATATTAGCAAATATTGCTGTGGGTGCTTATTAGTCGAATACAGTATTTATGAAAATGATGAAGACTTCTGGGACCTGTTCCATACAGGGATTGAAGTGCTACGACAGTTGTAAGTCTATGTTAAAGTACGGGAGTTACGATGAACTTAATGTTATGATTGCTTTGTGGAACGGGGCCCAAGAGAAAAGGTAAAGTTTACGTATCAAAACTTAAGTAAAGTGATGAACAGAAGTAATGAAAAGAATGTATCAATGTGTTTCTCTTCCATATTACAACTGTTGATAGAGAAATAACTTGAACTCAATAAAGCTGTAAATCTATGGGCAGTATAAACATTCCCTGCATTGTGAGTCTGTTCATGGTTGAGTCAACATACATCCTGTCTCAAGTGTTATACCCATGACACATGCATACTTCAGCAGAAATTCTGTCCATTTTAATTTATGTTATGAGTAACATCTACTAACATAACTAGTCTGCAATTCAGTGAGACTTATTAGTCTTTTAACTCATGAGTAGCATACCAATATTAAAGACACCATTTAACCATAGAATTAACTTTTAATTGCTTTTCTTTTTATTAATCTGTGTGTTAAATGTTTGGTCTGTCCTATTTCTGGATATGTCTAAATACTGCATGAAGTGTCTAAATTTAAACAGGATACTTCAAGATCAGAACTGCAGAAAAGTAAATACAAGAATGTAAACACTTGTGTTGAGAGAAAGGCAGAGAGATTGAACTAGCATGAAATACAAAAGCTGGATTTAATGTAAACACTGTGCAGATTACGAAGCCAATTCACAAAAACAAGTTTTAGGCAAAAATCCCATCTAGTTCTCAAAGAACAAACATATTTCATGGTTCTGACATGTTTAACAAACAGGTACCCTTCATACCAAACCAATGTCCTAAAATATTTTAGGAATTTCAAGTAAAACCGTGATGTGAAACAATCAATTCCCCATACACAAACAAATACTGCTGCTGACTGTGAAGGGAATTAATATTTGAATACAGATATGTTGTCACGAGCTGGGCAAATCAATCATTTCACATACCTTATTTGCAGTGTTCAGATCTATATTATTGGCTGTTTCTGAGAGATCCTTAAGTCCATCCACATTTCCCTCTTCTGAGGCACAAAAGAGGGCAGCCATTACAAAGTTCTCAGCTTTTTCCTGAAAATAACACAAACATCTTTTTATAACATACTCTGCATCCGGCCAAATCTTGCATATTGGATTTGTTGTATAGATTTGTTTCTGTCATGTCAAGGTTCATGTTCAGTGTGAGAGTGCATCAGTCTTCCATCGTGCTGTAAATGCTGCAGGTTACACTAAAACCTATATAGTCTTGGAAATCTAAGACATCTGAATACAAATACTGTCAAATACGTACAGGTATTTGTGGATTCAACCAAAAGTGATGAGAGAAATCCTTTGAAGGGATATTTACACATCTTGACTGACCCACATCCACGTGAACAGCATTCAATTTCACTACAAAGCACACAATAACATAACACACACAAGAATACTTGCACACACCTCGGCCATGACCAAATGCAAATATTCCCTCAATATATCACAAACTATCCACGATCTGGTATGACCTGCGCTTCACAGGTCATACAGCAAGATGCTACACATGCGCTGCATTGCTTCAAGGAAATATATCACTGGACCAAATATTTCTGGGCAGCAAGTGCCTCAGCACTGCAAGAGGTAAATTAAAGCATAGCCACAGCTACAGTAGGATTTACTAAATATAGCTTTTCAATGAAGCCTTGTGTTCAGGACTCACTGACTGAGATAGCATAGAAATCTCCTGTAACACTATTGACATGAAAGTCTTTTTCATCGCTTCTTACAGACCAAGTCACATGCAGGGTTATATTATAGTCCTATGATAGCAATGACTTCCATGTCCTAGCTAGCAACACAACACTACAGAAGCTAAGCTCAATACCTTCCATACATATCTTAACCACAGAAACAACTGGCCCAATTTCCAAACCTATGTGCTAACCTACAGTGTTTCTCAGTTGTCTTTTTTATTAAACATAGGTGTGTCCAAACGTGAGTCCTTCAAATAGAAGCTGTAAAGTCAGCAAACTTTTTCATTCTCGTTAATTCTGTATTTGCCACCAGGTTATTTGAACATGCCATGCTTGCATTGCGAGACAGCCATGTTTTTCTCTTATCTATCTGTAGACTTAAAGGAGAAATCAATCATAATATCAATGTAGATGATTGAAATACACATTCTTGTTGCACGACATTCGAAAGTTGCATATTTCAGTTTGAGGTCATGGCTATAATGACCTCCTCGATGACCTCCTTGATATAATCTTATCTGAGAGAAATGGAGGTACTTGAGACGTGAGACAGGAAGCATACCAGACTGACACTCCTGCCAGCTGAATGTGGTGATCACTGTTGGTCCTTCTGTCATTTCCTTGGCTGACATATTGGGAAATATCATGGATGCATTATTGATGAAGGCAGTGTTATGTAAGGGAAGCACATAAAGCTACAAGTGTTAAGGAGGTGAGGTGAAATGGGCTTTAACGTCGCGTTCAAGATTTTTGCTCTTACATAGCCATGTGTATGTGTAAGAGTGAATATTATCCTACTCTATTTTTTATCCCGGGGATGAAATTCTCTAGTGTCTGGATGATTCTCCCCAGTGAATTTGAACCCATACCAGTGTGGCACTGAGGTAGGATACTATACTCTAGAGTAAAACGTCCCCCGGGATAATATTTAGGTAGGATATAAGTGTGTGTGTGTGTGTGTGTGTGTGTGTGTGTGTGTGTGTGTGTGTGTGTGTGTGTGTGTGTGTGTGTGTGAGAGACTGCTTGAACTAGTCCTGGCTAATGCTGATTTTATAGTGCTTGCCCACTGTGAACCCATGCAGCAGTTTAACATGGATATCCCATTCAGACACAGTATACTGACTCTGAGCCTACCAGTCCTTGTTTTAGCCCCATAATACTGAGGGCCAGACAGGGTAACAACAAGTAACGTTTTAACGTCTTTTGGTATGATGTGGCCAGGGATTACTGAAATGAAGAAATCTCCAACCTACCACTCTCTGGGCGGATGCTCTACCACAAGCCAAGGAAGACGTTGCAAGTTATAAGGAAAACGTTGATTGACATGTGATATTTACACTGATATGTATAAACTCCAACATAGAACCATGTTAAACGCTTGCACATTGAGACGAATATCCCTTTAATAGCAATCTCCATCACATGTCTGATTTGAGAGCTCTCTTTCTTTTTTCCAACACCGATATTCCCATCCATACCTATCTGACTATCCCACACCTATATTCCCATTCATACCTATCTGACTATCCCACACCTATATTCCCATCCATACCTATCTGACTATCCAACACTTATATTCCCATCCATACCTATCTGACTATCCAACACCGATATTCCCATCCATACCTATCTGACTATCCAACACCTATATTCCCATCCATACCTATCTGACTATCCAACACCTATATTCCCATCCATACCTATCTGACTATCCAACACCGATATTCCCATCCATACCTATATGACTATCCCACACCTATATTCCCATCCATACCTATCTGACTATCCAACACCGATATTCCCATCCATACCTATCTGACTATCCAACACCTATATTCCCATCCATACCTATCTGACTATTCAACACCTTATATTCCCATCCATACCTATCTGACTATCCAACACCGATATTCCCATCCATACCTATCTGACTATCCAACACCTTATATTCCCATCCATACTATCTGACTATCCAACGACTATATTCCCATCCATAAATGTCAGTCTTCATTTTATTTTTGCTTGTACTGAAAATGTTGCACAAGTAAATTGCAAGTATTTCAAGAAGTTCCATAATGTGTGTATTCCACTTCCTGTTGAAAGTGTAACCTTGCACACAAAAAACAACAACTAATTTGTTCAAAGTTAAAAACTGTCTTGATCTACTTCAGCGCAATGAAAACTACATTCTTTCCAAACTTACAGTTGAAGGAAATATTTCTTTCATAATTACACAAGGGAGTTCACACAACACACACAAGACGGACACAATCAGTGGCCTTTGCTGTGCCAAACTTTCAAGGATACACCTTTTTAAAGGTAGTCTTGTTTTGCATGCTTTTCTTGTGGAATTGACACCAGCCTTTTGTTTCAATGCTGTGATCTCTGGCCTTATCAAAACAATCCTTTCTTGCTTCACAGGAAAGGCTTTGCTATTTTGTTTGTTGGCTTTTTGTCTTCATTATGGAAACTACACCTTTCTGAGGCCTGAAAATAGTTGGCGTAATTCTCCAAAACACAAATGGAGTGTTGTGGAAAATCAATAAAATATAATTGATGTGATGATAAATCAAACTATTGACCATGTACAGTTTGATCTCCTTAAATACAATATTTCTCTAAGGTGTAAGTCTCAACACCTACAATTCATCATATCTTTTCTGAAATAAATAGTTGTGGCAAGTTAAACTAAATATGTACATATTGTTTTGATCAGGAAAATCCCTGGCAACAGTGTAACTTAAAATAATATCAACGACATAAGCATGGGTTGTGATGTATGACTGTGCTCCCATGTCTTAATAAACATATCTATATGAAGTGTACGTAGTAATGGGTTTCTATTCCGTGTATGCTAGCATTAGGTTTCCCATACATCTCCCTCCATTGCTGTCCCTGGTGTTGCCTCCAGGTCACCCTTGGTGTTCACTAGTCATCTCTTAATGTCAATATTGTCTGTATATTGTATCTCCGGGGAATCATTTCTATATAAAGACATACAAAATACGCAACTCATAACATTATGAAGTTATAGTCAAAACCTAATACAGCCCACACACCCCAAAATAGTAACATTTCTAGGAAGACATCTACGACAGCCTAATTCCTGGGTCTCTGAAAACATTTATAATATTCCTTAAACTTGGATATATTTTTCAAAAACTCTCTTATGGCAGCATTTTATTAACATATCTCGTATCTTCACTTGTCAAGTGGTTCAAGGGCAGGCTATATTCTACAGTTTGGACAGTGTCATTGTGTGATGCTAATTAATATATGCCATTTGCTCTTTTGCTCCTAGATGTGATCTCAGGAGATATCACCAGAAAGATAGATCAACAAACAGTGGTCTTGTTAAGTATGGGACTATTCCATGCAATGTGCACACACTACATCCACCTCACTGTAACCAACATTCTCTATCCATGTACTGTGTTTTCTATTACCAACACACATACTGTATACAGTCTGTCATTAACAAGCTTATAGGCAACATTAGAATGACTAACACCCTTTGAGAGAAAACTACTTTAACTGGTTGAAACATTATTTTTATTGATCATTTTGTGCTAAGCCATTGAAGTATTTTACATAACTGTATAACTAGCAGCTCAGCTATTCAGACACTCTGAAACATCTGCGTATCAAGGTGACATCTACCTGTTGATTGAGAGCATCCTGCTAACTTCCTTACCATGTCACCAAGCCTACGTTCCTAAAAACAACAGACATCTAAGAAAAGCACCAAGGAGTGACACATCAGAAACATTGATAACAGGATGTTCATAGTCTGGTTCATGGATACACATATCCCATGAAGCTTTCCTAATAGAAAATCTTCACCTACAGAAGAAGCATGTAGGTAAAACTAGAGCTTGGTCATATTACAGATTCACAATTAAAAAAAACAGTGTCATAAATTTCATGGCAAATACCAGAAAAAAGTCACTATGGAACTGTTTATATTAACCTACTTATGAGTAAAATAACACAATAAATTATTTCTATCAAGTGAAAGAAAACATCTCCAGTTCTAATGAATTAGGTCAATAACAGTCACTGGGTAGGAATTTATGATAATCTTGATTTCCCTGCTTCACAATCATAAATCATCATAAACCTGGAGTAGATAAAGAGGCTGTAGCCCAGGGACATGTGGAGATTCCTGCATCAAATACACTGCCTTGAGCTCTTGTGATGTCACAGGACCCTACAGTATCTACATATCAGTGTGCATGGTACAGTATAAGTTATAACACTTTGCAAAAGGTTTCATTGCAGTACAAGTAATACTTGTCAATGTCAAATGATGCTACTGTTTATCTTGAGTCCACTAAAAAC